AAGAAGGAGAAGCAGCAGCCCACCTGCTTTTGTCTGTGCCCTGCCCCTCCCAGCACACATGACTTAGGAATTTTATGTAAGGGAGCCCAGGGCACTGACCTGCACGTCTCCACACTGTTTGTACTGTTGCCTTGGACACTGGGACACAATCACTGTCTTTCCAAATCAGCTCACCTGCTGAGTAATGGGCTGGCTGAGGGCCCAGCTGGCTCCTCCTAGCTCCCTGGAGCATCAGACCGCATTTCCTCCCTCTAAAAATTAGCTTTGGTTTTGGTCAGGAACCCTGAAAGAGTTTCTACCCTTCTCTTGGTCCTAAGAATGAAAGACTATCCAACAAAGCAGTTAGGTCATTAGAAATGGGAAAGACATCCATGCCCTCTGCCCTGAGCCCAGAGGGGCAGGTAGGTGCAGTCGTCCTGGTACAGAAGCTGTGTAGGGACGACACTCTAGGAGCCTAGACATTCCCAGGCTGGAGACGCCACCATCAGGTTGGCACTTTCTCACACCACCCTCCTTCCCACAGCATTAACTGGTGTCAGAAAAGCTCCGGCCTTGTGGAGAGGGAACCCAGAGTACAAGGACCATTTCTGCTTTAGAGTGATTTTCCTATTGCAGTCAATAAAGTGATGAGACCTCAATGCATTTTTGCTCTAGGAGTGGTGGGTGGGGAAGGGGTGTGAGCACCTAGGTGACAGAGAACCCAAAGCCCATGACACTGCTCTCTGTGTAACCTTTTCTGCTGGCACTTGTATGAGCAGCCTGGGGTGGAGGGTGGGGGTGAGGGCTCAGAGCACCTGCTTTTCCAGGTATGTCCTGGGGATTGCCAGCCTAAGAATTTTCTTTCAAGGTTCATGTTGTTTGTGCGCACGTGTGTGCATGTGTGCGTGCATGTGTGTGTGTGTGTGTTTCTTTTAAATTAAACTACTTTTTGAAACAATCCCAAACTTACAGAGAAATTGAAAGCATAGTGCAAAGAACATCTTTATTTCTCCTGAACCATTTAAAAGTCAGTTGCCTATATATTTGTTTTCCTCCCAGTAACCTATATTTTATTAACCTTTTTTGACTTTAATAATCAATGTAATAAGAGTTTGATAATGCTATTTCTTATTTTATAGTGAGAATTTAAAATTTTTTAATTATTGTTTTCTTGGCTACTTTATTTTTTTTCTAGATTTACTGCGATGTAATTGACATTTCTGGAGGACTGCATGAGCTAAAGCCCTTTAAGCACAGTGTCCGGCACATGGTAAACACCATATATGTTAGCTCCACCTAATACAGCTGCATTGACTTTAACGTAAAGAAGTCTACCACACCCTGGCTGGAGGGCCCAGGAAGCCGCGTGGGGTTAGCCTGTGGCTTCAGGTAGCCCCTGGCACACAGTTCGGAGCAGGGAATAAACAGCCCGAACACCAGGTCTCCCTTCTCCTCCGACTTCCTACTCCTTCCCAATCTGTACCTCTCACCACATCCTGGGGAAGAACAAAGCAGCACATGAGGGGAAATGAAGCAGGTCCAGGCTGTGCCGTTTCCCAAGAGCGCCCAGCTCCCCGTGCTGCCGAGGCACCATGCTGGCGTCCAGAGCCCGGCCAGGACCCTAGAGAGCCGAGCTGACAAATGACCTTGGCTTTGTTCTGGTTTCTTTATGTCGGGACTAGAAGGCAGGACCCAGGTGCTGAAAATCTTCCCGTCCCAAACCCTGCCCCCTGGAAAGGTGGTTTCTCTAGAGAGCAGGCTAAGCTTCACCCTGGCTCCCAGCCTGCTCCTAAACCTGCCACCTGCTCCTTCTACAGGGCATGGCACTCTGGGGTTTTTCACGACACACTGGGTCTCCGGGGTTGTTTGGGAACGTGGGGTTTGTGTGAGAGACTGGAAGCCTGCTTTTCTGATGAGGTCACTGTTCCTTGAATTATTACCTCGCTTCCCTTGGCCTGAGCAAGCAGCAGGAATGCCTTGGAGTGGTGTTTGTTTATGAAACATCAAATCCCTGCCTAGTGACGCCCAAGCAGGCCCACTTGCCTCCAAACCCCGATCCCTCCCAAGTGCTTCAGTCTTCAGTCCTGTGGGTGCCGGTGTTACCTGCTGCAGAACCAGAGGCCAGCTTCCTTCCCAGGCCCTGGGTGTGTGGCAGGGCCGGTGGTCCCCTGGGCCAGCCTATGTTGTAGGTTTCATCTGAGGGCTAATTTTGCTGGTAGGGAGTGTAGGCAGGAGGCCAGGGCAACATTTGGCAGCAAGCAGGCAGCTCCTGGAGAGAGCGGGCCGTTTGAGTCCACAGTGAAGTCCAAGGATGGTCACCGCCCTCCACTTCCTGCCTGCGAGCCAGAGCCAGGGCCGTTGGCTGTGTTGACCTGGCCGGCAGTGCGGCCGCCTCAGGCTTCAGGCACTGGCCCCACGGCCACACCAGGGGGAGCAAGTAGCCTGGGGCCCTGCCAGCCTGGCGCCACTGTCTGCCAGCCACTGGGCTTTGAAATGGTTCTATTTTCAGCGCCTGACTCCCTCTTCAGCCCCCACTCCTGCTGAGCTTCCTGAGCCACTTCTCCCCACTCCCAGCCCAGCGTCTTTCTGAATGGAGCGGATTATCATAACACCATATGTTAGAAAAGCAATTCACAATTTATAAAGTCCTGTTATGCACCAGCTCTCTTCTGATCTTTCGTCAGCCTGGGAGGTCCCAGAGCAAGTCCGTTAACCCATGATTCACAGAGGATGGACAATGGAGGCTCAAAGAAACTCAAGCAGCTCGACTAACATCACACACACACACACACACACACACACACACACACACACACACACGGCAAGTCTGCAAGTCGGTGTGGGGTTGAGTCTTAGAACCAGGCTTCCTGCCTTGAGTCTGGTGCTCATCCCACCACCCTTCAAGTCCAGGTGTCCTATTTATGGCACCAGCGAGTGGGGTCCCGCAGGACCACCTGTGGTGGCCGTTTCCTGTCTTCTTCACGGAGGACGTTTACTTCTGGGGAGTATTGCCAGGCTGGGCAGAATCCTGAGCTCTGCGGAGTCTGATGTGAGCAAAAGCTGGCTGATTTGAAGCGAGGCCTCTCCCCGAAAAGGGCCTGGGCCCAGATGCTCAAAGAGCAGAAAACTCAATTAGCTTTTCTGTGGATGGCGTCCGAAACGTTGCTCAGCACTTGGCCAGAGTTCCAGCCACCCCTCCCTGTTTGGGGCTGGGCAGGATCCAGATCCCCTGCCCTTCCTGGAAAAGCACAGGCTCCTCCTTAATCCCACTGGCAAAGGCCTGGTTGCCTGCCTCCTGGGGAAGGGGTTTAGCTTCCTGGCAACCTATGCTCTGAGGGGCCAGCCCAGGGCTGGCGACTTCCGAGGTCTCCTGGAGTGAGGGGTGTGGGAAAGTAAGAGCTTCTCCACAGCCCCCGACAAGGACTAGGAATCAGGTTGGCACAGGCCAGCTGCCCTGTCAATGGTCGTGCTGCCCGTTACATTTCTTCTGTTTCCACCCCCTGGGCAGCACACACCTTTCCCCAACCTATATGATCCCTCCCAACAAAGGATATTAATAGAGAGAATCTCATCTCAGGTCCAAAGTAGCCCCACTCCCCTCCCATAACCCCCTCTACCCTTTTTTTTTTCTAGGCACATGGCCTTGTCTGAAGAATGAGATCTCTCTCCCCAGGCCCTGAAGTGATGCATTTTCCAAAAACCTCTCAGCAGAGGCTGACATTATTATAAGAAATTAAAAACTAAATGCAATTCGCATCCTTAGGAGATTCATCTTTTTTGTCTGTGTTTTTCCTTGCTTGTCCCTCAGTCTCTGCCAATTTAGAGTCAAGGTGTCACGTGATTCCTATTAAAATTGGGCTCTGGCTGCTGCTGCTTTTTCTACCCACTGCCCATCTGCCTGCTCTAAAGGCAACCGAGTACTGGGAGGGGGAGCGGGGGCTGCCACAGAGAGCGCTCAAGTAAGAACTGAAATATTTGACTGGACTTGGTCCTAGCAGAGGCGATTTTATTACCCTAAATGTCCTGGAAACCCGGTTGCCTCTGGTGTTAGAAGACTCCAGGCTCGGCATTCTCAGATGGCCCTCTGTAGCCAGCCCTGGCATTTTCTGCAAGTGGCTGTGACATGAGTCATAGTGGGCAGTCTCCGGGGAGGCTGGCCATGAGGTGAGCACAGAGGGGAAAAAGCTGCATCTCCTCCCCCCCCCCCCCCCCCCCCCCCCCCGCGCCTCAGAGGCGAGAGACCAGGCTGGGGATGGCCACTGGGCTTCGTGGTGGGGACGAAGGGGTCAGCATCAGCAGGAAGGAGAATGAGCCCAGAGAGGACAGGCCAGGCCAGAGCAGGCCCCATCAGAAATGGTCTTGGTGTTGACTGCTGGGCAGGGTCTGTAATATCAAAACCAGCTATGGCCGTAGGTAAAGAAGCAATGAGATCCAGATGCATAATCCTGTCCATTTGGGAAAGTCTCTCTCATGCAAGGAGGGAGCCTCAGGCATGCTCTTGCGGTGGTGTATTAATGTCCCAAACGAAGCATGTTTTATTTTTATTTGACTTGGCCAATAAAAATGTTCTGTACAAGGTAAACACTTCATCATGAAATATTTAAAGTAAAAATAAATAAATCAATTCCCTCCTACAGAAATCTCCAGCTATCACATACAAATAGAGGACATCAGTTATAAATTAAATACGTTAAAATAAATAGTCTTAGGGTACTCCGATTGACAGGGTCTGTTTAAATCACCTGTTGAAATGATTATACCAAAGCAAGGTATTATTAATTCCACTAGTGACTAGACTATGCCATTTCAGAAAACATTAGCACTCAACATTTGATTTTTAATTGTTTTTCTATAGAAAAACTGCACATAAAAGAATAGCGAATTCATGCAGTCATGCCAGATGATCCTCAAAACCCATGTTGACGATACTCTGGATCGGATATTTGCCCTACGAAGTAAATATTTAGTGCTCTGTCATTGAAAAGCCTACCTCGTCAAGATGAAATAAACGTGATACCAGGAAGAGTAAGAACCATCGTGTTTCCAGGTGCCTCAAACATCAAGCTCTTACATTTACACAGAAATCACACATATGAGAATGACTCACAAGGAAGACAGAAGAATCACCTGCTTCCTTCCTTGGGGGCTCTTTAAAATGGGTTGGGGCAATTTTATTTTGGTGTGGTTTTGCTTAAAAATGGGGACATAAACTTATGATCTTCCAAAGTCACTGTCAGGCCAGGGGCTTAAGCGATTCTAAGAAGGAACCGTCTTCTTTTGCCTTTGAGGGAAGTTCCTTTTGTGCCTCCTAGGCTGGGTGATTGGGTAGTGAGGGACGATGGTATGATGTGTTTGTACCAGGTACTTGCAGAGGTAAATGTGTTCATTTTTAGCACTGAGGCTCCATTCCAATCCAGCGTTCTCCCTCTGTGCAGCGACCTTTGGCACCTGGGAAGGTCACCTTTAGTCGGCCTCAAAGGCGCTGTTGGTCGCTCCCACGTACTCAGCCTTCTTCTTATGCCTCATCCACATTTTTCGGAGGATGCTGGGGATGCCGCAGGACACACTTCCTGTCAGTGGTAGGGAGGCTTCTGCTCCCTGGGGAAGGGTTGGGTACTCTTCAGTCATCTTCTTGAGATGCCTGGAACTAAAGAAAAGTCGGGGTGTGGGGAGGGCAGTCACTTCCCTGAGCCAGACTTTTATGTTTTGCTCTGAAGAAGCATATGGTAGCCTGAGCTCTTATTCCTCCTCTGCTCACACATCCTGTGACCTGGAGGGAGGGTCACTGTTGGGCCCCATGCAGGAACGACACCCCCTGGGGGATCCGCCAATAGGATGAGGGAAGGAGGTGGCCTTGGCCACGCTCGTTTATGGGCCTCAAGTTCGGCTCTTATTCCAAGTTCTACTTGCCCACCCCTCCCATCTCCACACGATTGATTTTGCTGAGTGGATTTCCCAGAGCATTGGCTATTGGGTTGAATCCTGCCCGCCCCCCAACCCCCCCGCCCCCACCCCATGTACTGTGTGATGTCAGGCAAGTGACTTAACCTCAACCAGCCTCAGTGTCCTCATGTGCAAAGTGGGAATGATTTCATCTAACTCCTGGGGCTTTTGTGAGGAGGAAAATGAGAAAATAAAGCATCTGGCACATTGTAGGCCTCCATACATGTTCCTTTTCTCCTCACTTTCTCTCCTTACATGAAAGAAATGGCCTTACTTGTCAATAGCCAGGGTTTAGGAGCAAATTGCGATGAAAATGTTTGAACTTAGAGAAAAGAATCCGTTTAGAACAGTGGTTCTCAACCTGTGGGTCGCGACCCCTTTGGGGGTCGAACGACCCTTTCACAGGGGTCGCCTAAGACCATCGGTAAACACATATATAATTACATATTGTTTTTGTGATTAATCACTATGCTTTAATTATGTTTAATTTGTAACAATGAAATTGGGGGACACCACAACACGAGGAACTGTATTAAAGGGTCGCAGCATTAGGACGGTTGAGAACCACTGGTTTAGAACCTTTGCAATGCAGCGAAATGGGTTGGTAAGGTCAGCCTTTGTTGCATTGTAGTAATTTTTTACTGGTTGACTCCAGCCGTCACTAAAAGCCATTGTTGCTGAGAACAATTTGCTTCTAGTACTTATACAATCCAAACGATTGTCTTAGTTTTCAATACTTAGGTCCCAATATGTTGAGTGACTTGGTTTTTATAGTTCTTCCTGGATGGCTTTCTTTCATCTAGAAGGGTTTTGAACTGGCCTGTTTCCCCTTAGACTCCCACAGCGTTCAAGGTGTGAACCACTGGGGTTGATATTTTAGCCCATGGCTCCCCACACATCTGCCCCTAAAACAGTCCTGAGTATGTATCTTTCCAACTCCTAAATTGTAAGTTTCTTGAAAAATGATAGCAATGGTTTATGCTAATCTCTTTATACATTATCTCATTCAATTCTCACAATACCCCTCCAGAGGGCTACATCCCCAGATTTTGTTTGCCTTTTTTTTTTTTTAAATAAACGAGGACATGGAGGTCTGAATAACTTGCCTGAAGTCACAGCAAGGCAGTAGCGTGCCAGGCAAGCAGCAGCACGTGACTGCCACCTGCAGCATGGAGGACGGTGGAAGGGACACAAATGGACAAGGTGAACCGAGTTTCAGGCTCCTGCCCACCACCTTCTTAGTGTACCACTGAAGGCGGGGAGGGGGCTGCTGGGGATTACTCCTGGGACTCTAGCTGCTGGCCCCTGGATCAGAGGTAACAGTAACGTGGCGGGGGAGGGGTGGGGGATAAATTTGGTTTGAAACCTTTGACCTTATGTACTTTTTTACCTTTGGGCAAGGGCCATGAACCCAATTCAGGAGGCATTTCTGACCTCAGCCTGCCTAGGGGAGGCTCTGAGTATGGCCTGTGATTACATTTATCTAATTAACCCCAAATCCTCCAAATGACAGTTCTCCAAGTCTAAAGAGCGGCGTTAATGAAGTGGAAACCATCAAACACGCTTTAGCTTCATCCTAGAGAAACAGTTACCCAGGGTTAGTGTCCTCATTAAGAGGACATTTGCAGCTGGCATGGGTTTCGTGTTAGCATCTTGAGAGTCTGTCAACCAGGCCACCTGTTCCTCTTCTGCCTTAGGGTCCGGAGCAGGTGGGGCGCCCCGCAGGCAGCGGGCGGGGCGGGGAGGCCCGGCACTTACCCTCTTGTCAGAACAGCTCTGTTGTCAGAGCCGCTGGGAGCAGGCGCCTCCAGGACAGCTGTGGGGGCCTTCACTGAGATCCGGGCCACCGGAGGAATCTGGGTTGTGAGGAAGGGGAAGAGAATGTGAGGATGTGGCCATGGTCCCAACGCTGGAGCCACTGAAAGGGGAATGGCTACACTGAACCACCACGAACCCAGGGCAACAGTCCTTACACTTGGGTGGGCATCGGACTCCCCTGGAGGGCTTGTTAGCTCCATGCTGGGCCCACCTGGGCATTGGTTCAGTAGGTGTGATGTGGGCTTAAGCATTTGCGTTTCTAAAAAGTTCCTATGTGCTGATAGCCCCAGGACCCCAATTTGAGAAGAAACTTGAGAGAGAGCAACTCAATCTTACCTGAGAACTCTGTCCCCTCACACTCCCATTGCCGGTGTCCCCTTTGTTGTCAACCCCTGCAGGTTCTTGCTTTGAAATACTGCCTAGATTCCTGCCAGCCTCTCCATCTCCTCTGCTGCAGCCTTCAGGGCCAATCACCTTGGGGCCTCCTTGTTTCCAGCCAGACCCCAGACCCCTCCTGGATTTGCAGGGCCTCCACAGCGGGGTAGACTGAGGCCAATTCTGCACCTGCTCGTCAAGGCTCTGCAGAGCCGACTCCACCTTTCCTATGCAGCTCCGCCTTCTGTCACCCCCATGCAGGGCCACTCCTGCCTTCCTCAACGCTCATGCCCAGCTCCTCATCGTCACTGGGCCTTTCCTTCCCTCTCTGGGCAGAGCCTCATCTCTGCCTGCCCTTCAAGCTCACTTCCTCCAGGAAGCCTTCCATCTGGCTGGTGGCCCATGTTGATTTCTCTTGGTCCTTAGGTGCCCACAGCACTGCATACCACCAGTTCTATCTTTTTATGGTTCTCTACTTGTTTCATATGTTTGTCCAGTATCCTAGTCCCCAGAAAGGTTGTATAGAATGAGGCAGGGCCTGGGACTTAAGCCTTTGGTGGCCCTACTCAGCTTTTCTAAAGGAGGTGGTGAAACATGCAGTGAAGTAGAAATTAACTGGTGGCCTAACCTGGGCCAAGTCCAGAGTTTGCTCTGTCAATGGTCATGCGCTGTGCTTTGTTCCTCCACCCCATGGCCCACTGAAGGCGCAAGGTCACCGTATTCCTGGAACTGCTGAGAGATTCCAGGTTGAGGACAACATGATTCACCTCCCCCTTCTCTCCTGAGCCGGCCAGAGGTTGTGGGCAGAGTTACTGTGCCACCTTGTGGCCTCTAGGGAGCTCTCCCTCCCCATCATGCCAACAGCCCCGGGAACATCTACCCACTCGCCTTCTTCCCCACTGTCCTCAGTCCCATTTCAGTGTTGAATCCGGTTTAGCCGTGTGAGCTCTGAATTGCTCTCCAGTCTCGGATGAGCTGTGGGACCCCAGCCCCACTGTCTCAGGCCCAGAGGAAAGGGCCAAGCCTGCTGCCTCTGTCCTCTGCATTATTATTGACCCCCTTTTGTAACTGGGTCCCCATCACCACCCTATCCCATCCCAACCTGCTCTGGCCTCCAGCTGCAGCTACTGTCCGAGCCCAGCCCCAGACCTGGGGGCCGGTGATCCAGGCTGTGATCCCCCTCTTCCCTTTAGCGTCAGTCTTTCCCTGGGCTTGGCTGAGCCCAACTGTTCAAGCAGTCATAGCCTGACAGCCTTCCCTCTGTAGCAATGGCCCAGCCATCCTCTATTTCCCTTGGTACTAGGTTGGGACAGGGGGCTCCTGACAAAATGGCTTGTCCCATCCCTGCCCGTTGTGTGGTTTTCCTAGGATAGGGGTGACTTAGATGAGCTACTCAGGTTAGATTTCCTCTCAGACCAGGAGCGAAGTACTCACCTCTCTGTACAATTTGTTCCATAAAAACAAGAGGCTGGGCCAGACAATCTGTCGGGTCTCTTGTCCTCAGATGGCACAGTCCATGAATCTTGAGGGCTGATACTCATTAAGCACAGGCTGCTCGAGCCAACCTCGCCTCCAGCCATGACCCCACCCCCTACTGTGCTAACTAGAGGGTGCCCGTGTTCATGCCCACAGGGAGATGCAGGAGTTCAGGGTGACTCTGAGCTAGACCTGGACATGAGCCACCCAATGGTCCCTCTTCGTGAAAGGACAAGCTGCCGGATTGTGGGAGGGCAGGCGACAGAGGGTTCTCAGCTCCCTCAGACATGTCTCAGAAGGGCCACATCGTCCGAGGCAATGCCCTCCTGGGGCACCCCACATGCTCTGACAGGGCGAGGAGCAAACATAAAGGGCTGGCCATTTGGACCAAACCAGATGGGCAACACTTGCCCCACAGCTCCCACTGGGAGGGGTCATACCCGTGTGGCCGTGCCCAAGCCTGCCACCCTTCTTCTGTCACAGGTATTGGTCCCTACTGTACATCGCGTCCCATCCTGAGATGACTGGTGTTCGGTGTTTTCATGAAGCTTGAGACCTCTTATATCTCTTTCCCCTGTAGCTGCCCTTGGGAATTAGTCAGGCATTTCCAACTGGCAGGGGCCAGCATAAACATGCTTCTCTCCTCCCCTCCTCCCTACCCCCCCACCCATGTTTGAAATGTATGCTAGGTAACACCTTCTGTTTTCCTAAGAGTTGAACTTCTGGCAAGAAAGACAGCAGCAGTGAGACAGCGGGAACAAAGAACCCTCGGGCCTGCTTTTGTACAACCCTCAGAACTGGCCCAAAGGACACTGGTCTCTCATCTTAGCACAGAGAAGGCACAGCCACCCAGGCTGAGAGACTCACCAAAGACTTTCCATAGGCTCGATTCCCACACAGATTTGATGGTTTGGGTTCAGCAGTCCCCACTGCAAAGGTGAATGAAAGACATGTCACCCAGTGCGCTCTGTCCTGCCTCCCTTGGGTCTGCATCAATTATCAAAGTCAGGAATTTCTTCCTTTAAAAAAAATTATCTTTTATATGTAATATTTTAAAATTATAGTTTACATTCAATATTCTTCTGCATTAGCTTCAGATGTACAACACAGTGGTTAGAAAATCATTTACTTTACAGAGTGGTCCCTCCAAAGTTTCAAGTATATATAACTATATACTCATATATAGTTATCGCGGCACAATATTATTTATTAATTTTTAAAATATATTTTTATTGATTTCAGAGAGGAAGGGAGAGGGAGAGAGAGATAGAAACATCAGTGATGAGACAGAATCATTGATTGGCTGCCTCCTGCATGCCCCCCTATTGGGGATGGAGCCCACAACCTAGGCATGTGCCCTGACCGGGAATCAAACTGTGACCTCCTGGTTCATAAATCAACACTCAATCACTGAGGCACAACAGCCAGTCGTGGTGCAATATTATTGACTACATTCCCTGTGCTGTAACTTACATCCCTGTGACTGTTGTACTTCTTAATTTCTTCACCTTTTTGCACCCAGCCCAACTCCCCTCCCCTCTGACAGCTGTCAATCTGTTCCTTGTTTCTCTTTTGTTTGTTTATTTTGTTCTTTAGATTCCACATATAAGTGAAATCATATGCTACTTGTCTTTATCTTATTTCACTTAGCAGACTACCCTCTAGGTCCGTGGTCGGCAAACTGCGGCTTGCGAGCCACATGCAGCTCTTTGGCCCCTTGAGTGTGGCTCTTCCACAGAATACCACGTATGGGCGCGCACGTACAGTGCGATTGAAATGTGCAGTGCGAGTGTGGCCCATGCGCAGAAGTCGGTATTTTGTGGAAGAGCCAGTATTTTGTGGAAGAGCCACACTCAAGGGGCCAAAGAGCCGCATGTGGCTCGTGAGCTGCAGTTTGCTGACCCGCAGTTTGCCGACCACTAGAGTCTCCATCCATGCTGTTGCAAAAGGTAAGATCTCCTTCTATTTTATGACAAGCTGGGACTTTCTAAAGGCCCTGTACTGGGCAGTAGGATCAGGCAGCAGGGCAACTGCTGAGAGGATCACCTGCACCACTGGTGCTCCTCCAGGGGCAGGAGCTGAGCTCTAATAGATAGGTGCTCGGAGAATGTGCCCTCAGCCCCTCCTTCCTTCCTAAGGCGCCAGATCACAGAGGTTATCAAGAATTAAGTCTTTACGGCTGGGATCCCGGATCCGTCATTTACCCTGCTGCTCCTGGACACCCCTCTGTGAAAATGAGCAGAGAAGTCCTGCCTGTGATGGAACGATGGAGCTTCTCGGAGTCCTGAGACATTGGCTATCTGGGAGGTATGTGAGAACCTGCTTGCTATGCCTTTATCCCCAAGGCCCCACCTACTTCTGAGTAATTTCTACTCTGAAGCCTGCAGCTTCGGAGAGTCCAGGTGTTGAGCTGAAGGATCTCCTGGGGAGGTAAAGGGGTTGGGGTGGGGAGGGAATTTGACTTTCAATAGCGTTCTTCCCTGGGGCAGCCGATGAGCCCGATCCTATCACCCACAGCATATAGCAACAAAGCACCTTCCTCAGGAAAACATCTCCATGCCAATTAAACAAAGTTACAAGACTACCAAGGTCAAAACCATGATGTTCAGTGCTCTGGCATCAGTAATGATAACAACGCATATTTTTGAGTATTTACTGTGTCAGTCACTGTGCTGAGTGTAAAACACATACACATTGTCTGATTTAATTCTCACGGCAAACCTGACAGGTAGGTGTCATCATAATCCCCTTTCTAGATGAGCATGTTGAGGCTTTAGTAATACATAACAGTTTGGACGAAGCCGGTAAAGATGATATTGGGAATGGCAAACCGCCCTCTTTGATCTTGCAGGACCCGGGGACCCCTTAACTCAGTCTGGGAGGAGTGTGCCAGGTGGGCAGACACAGGGAGGGCAATCTGAATCGAGAAGAGTGTCAGCAAAGGTCCAGGGAAATAGTGAATAAGGGAGTAGTCACAGGATTACACAGCAGCTCAGGGTTGCTCTGTGTATGGACTGGCAGGGACGGGAGTGTCACAGGAGGTGAATCTGGAGATGTGAGCAGAGGACACGTCCTGGAGGGCCTTGGGCATGGTATGGGTGGTTGCAGGTGGCAAGGACGCAGTGTTTAAAGTAGAGGAATGGTATCGGCAGATTTCGGCTTTCGAAGGACCCTTCCGGTAGCCTCTTGGAGGGAGGGGGAACTGAAGGTCAGGGTTGGCTGTTACACACAATGGATGATGAAGGTACACCGAGTCCAGGTAGCCGGAGGTAGGTTCCAAGAGGGAGAGATGAGCCATATCTAGGAGCTGACACTGTCAGTGTTCAGTGTGTGAAGTGGTGGGTGGGATGGGGGTGGGGAGGAAAGGGGTGTTAGGGAAAACATCCCAGTGGCTTGCCTGAAGGATGCATAGTGGCCCCAGCTGAGAAAGGAAGAGAGGTTTGAATGAGGAAGATGAGTTCCATTTGAAAAGGTTGATTCTGAGGTGCCTCAGGACATCTTGGTGGAGAGGTTCCACAGGTGACCAGTTCTCCCGGCTCAGGAGGTAGGGTGTCCCTCTCCAGGCACCTGAGGCTCACCTGCTCAAGGCCTCATGGTGAGAGCGTTTCTCAGCTGGGTCTCTGCCTTCAGAGTCCCCGCAATTTCCAAGATTCCTCAGGGAATCTTTCTCCCACGTGAGAAGCCTACAGCATCCAGGAGCCTCCACTATAACTCAGACAAGAAACAAGTCCCCAGATCTGAGATCCCTCTGACAGATCTTAAGACGGTAGTTTACAAAGAGTCTTTGCCCGAGGCCGGTGCCAAGCCCTTCTGTGGAGAGCACTGGGTCTGGCTTTGTTTCAGAAACCCTCCCTCTCTCCCACCCCCTCTAGAATCTATCAGATTCGGGAGCTGAAGGTTGCATCAACGCCCAGCTCACTCTTTTTTTTTTTTTTTTCCCTTCTGAACCTGACTAGCACATTCCCTGCCTGAACTGAGTGTCACATGTTAGGCAGATTCTCTCCATTTCATAACTTACTGTTCTCCTCTTTCTGAATAAAACACTGACTTGGGTTGCCTAAGCTTCCATAAGCTACTTAGAAGGGAAGGAAAGTGTCCCCTCATACGAGACAGTTGGGAAGACATTATTCTCCGGGGGAGGAGAGCTGAGATTTAATCTCAGTTCTATTGCTAATGAGAAGTGCGACCTTGGGTAGGTCACACAGTTTCCATGGTTTCATTTTCCTCTTCTGTAAATTGGCAGGGGTGGGTGCAACAGACCAGTGGTTCTCTACCTTCAGTGAGCATTAGAATCACCTGGGCGGGGGGTGTTGTTAAAACACAGATTGCTGGGCCCCACCCCAGAATTTCTGATTCAGTCTCTAGGGTGGGACCCAACGTTTGCACTTCTACCAAGTTCCCAGATGATTCAGCTGTTCTGAGGATTCCACTTTGAGGACCATCCACTAAATCATCTTTAAATCCTTGCTAATCAATTTATTGTCCTCAGGCCAAAATCTTCAGCATCATTAGAAACATAAAATCTGGGGCCTTACTCAGTCTTACTGAATTGGAATTTGCATAACAACAAGGTTCTCAGGTGATTCTTTTGCACATTAATTTGAGAAACATGGCTCTAAATTCACTTGATGATTTTGTAGTGAAGATATTCTCTTTTTCTCCTTCTACACACATACTGCACCCACCCACCCACCTATATATAGACACAGAGAAAAATTGATCTTCTCTTAATTTGCAAGGCAGATTGTGGTTTTCCTAATGCTTTCACTCTACAGACATATGTATGTATGTAATCACTTCACTAGAGAATATAGATGCTTAATGCATTCCTATAGTAGAATCATAAAAAAAAAATCAGGGTGTTAGATCAAAGAAGCCTTAGAAAAGATGGATAGGTGAAGGGACATACTCAATTGAGTCTTATTTCAGTTCTTGTAACATACAAAATTATTGACACACCAAGGCTTTGAGAAAGACATACCAGACATTCTATTAGGTCTTTTTGGAGTTAAAATATGAATAACTGTAGGCTGTGGGCATAACAGAAATAACCTACACCAGCAAGTAAAGGCAAAATACCATCACAGACTTCAGTGAGCTAGAGGAAGATGCCCGTTTCACTGCTTGAGGTGGAAGCCATTTATAAACAGCGTGAAAGGTACAACTATACTGCTTCCAGCTTTCAAAACAAGTTTGTCCCTGAATTCTTTCATAGATTGTTGAAATAGCCTAAGTAATGTAAGATGGTGAGATCCTAAGATGGTAGTTTACGAAGAGTCTGTATAATGACCCACACACTGCCTATAATATCAATAACGCAGGCTTCTTCTGCTATGCGAGTCATGACTACACTGGTTTTCTCTCCCCAGAACATAAAGACTTTCATCTGAATCCAGCAGGGCTTCCTGGGGAGCAAGATGGTAGATTGAAAGCATCTTTGCTTACGACACACACCAGAGCGAGTTTAACAGGTGGCAGGGAGGTGTGTGGGGCTGCTGTAGAGGGGGTCTGAGAGCAGGTGCACTCAGAGCGGGAAAGCATGTGTGGGGGAAAAGCGTGGTCCCCACACCACAGGTGCTCTGCTCACCTGGCGTGACCGAGGACACTAGGGAGGCCCACGATGCAGTCAGACAAACCACAAGCCAGGACGCAGACACTGCAGCTGCTGCTCTCAGCGAGTCATGGTCCCCCAGGGAGTACCCCGAGCAGGGTCAGTGCACATACCGGGTCTGGCAGGAGCCTTGGGGGGGTGGGGTCCCGGCTGCCATGAGCTGTGGAGTCGGCTGAACCTGGGGCCCTCACAGGCTTGGCGGTCAGTGCGGCGTGGCAGCAGCTCCAGGGGCCGGGAAGCGTACAGGTCCGAGTCAATCACCACCTGGGGAGGAGGAAGGACAGTCAGCTTGTTCCCCAAATCAGATCCAGGGATCCATGGCCCAGGCCAGGACTACAGCTCTGCAGATGGACCTTGTGCCGACATGCACGTTTTGGAGCCATCCTTACTCCACTGAATGCGAGGAACAGCGAGGAAACATGGGCAAACAGCCCAGACACAGCTGTTTACTGAACTTCAGGACGTGTAGGGGTGCAGGAAAACGAGGGCTTCGGAGGTCCCTCACCAGCAGTCCCGTCACAGAGTTAGGATCCTGGGCCATCAGGCCAAAAATCAGGGCTGCTCACCTGCACCCTGGCCTGACAACAGGACGGGTTATTTGAAAGGAGGCTAGCCCTGAAAATTGTGATCTTATGGTCTTTGCAGCTAAATGGATGCCTTTGTTCCCATGAGGAGAGAAGACTTAGGGAAAAGACTTGGGACCCAACTGACTCCCAGATTTGTAAATGTTTTGTTAAAAATATTTTTATTCATTTCAGAGAGGAAGGGAGAGGGAGAGAGAGATAGAAACATCAATGACGAGAGAATCATTGATCAGCTGCCTCCTGCACACCCCTCACTGGGGATCGAGCCCGCAATCCAGGCATGTACCCTGACCAGGAACTGAAACATGACCTCCTGTTTCATAGGTCGATGCTCAACCACTAAGCCACGCCGGCCAGGCCAACCCCCAGTTTTGACACTTTGTGGTAATGTGGGAAAGGGATATCCCTGTTTGCCTTGCTGTATTGGGGCAGAGTATGTAAGTGCCTCCTGTCACTAGTAGAAATTTTAAGAGCATAGCTTGCTTTTTTAGTTCATGTCACATACAGGGGTGGGCAAAAGTAGGTGTTCACGTGGAAAACTACAAATTAATAAATAATAATATGAGAATAAACCCTGTGTTTCACATACTCGCAACTGTAAGTCTACCTTTGCCCATTCCTGTATTTATCTACAGCAGGGGTCCTCAAACTATGGCCCGCGGGCCATATGCAAATACAAATATTGTATTTGTTCCCGTTTTATTTTTTTACTTCAAAATAAGATATGTGCAGTGTGCATAGGAATTTGTTCAGAGTTTTTTTTTTTAAACTATAGTCCAGCCCTCCAATGGTCTGAGGGACAGTGAACTGGCCCCCTGTTTAAAAAGTTTGAGGACCCCTGATCTACAGTGTCTGAGGGCAGTTCATGTCTCCCACAGAGGAAAATAAGGGCAGCTGACACTCTTTGCCTCAGTTTACCACAGATAGTCCTTTGCTTAGAAAATTAATATATCCCAAATTTGATCTTATCTAGGGAAGGACATGAACTCTGTTCAGGCCCCTTTTAGGACCCGGACTTATGTATTCTGTGTCTTTGGAGAAAGCTGATCATTCAGGGGCACTTGGGACCAGTCCTCTTTCTGCTCTGGGCACTGTGGAAGGTGGTGCTTCTGTTTCAGCAAGCCTTCCGTGCAGGCTGGGAGCAGCACCCTGCACGGGGCACCAGCACACTGGGGCTGTGAGGCTCCGCAGTGGGTGGTCCGGCACGCAGCACCCTGCATGTACATCCCCTCTGCTCTCCTCCTTCTCTTCCTTCTAGCACTGTGCTCTGCCACGGTGTTGCCTGGAATACTGGACTTCCCAGGAGTAATGCTAGCCCCACCCCCCTGGACACATGGACTGTTTGACCTAAGGGCCCTCCCCCAGAATATGAATCTCCGGGTTGAATAGGAAAGACCCGAGTCTCATAGCCTGACACTTGTAGGGCTCTCTGCTGTTGACCTCCCATTTTATTTTCATCCTTTTGGCATTTGTCTCAGGAAGGGGAAGTGAGGACTGGTGTGTTTTCAGAGCCACTTTGCAGATGGAGAAGGTAAGGCAGGATGTGAAAGCCTGAGGAGTCCAGGGGAGAGACCCAGCATTTCCTCCTCCGAAAAGGGGAGCAAAGGTTCCCTGTCAGGAACAAGAACCGCCACCTCCGCAATCCCTTCTCTGCACTGTGGGCTGGGGAAGAGACTGGGGAGGGCGCGAGCAGAGAGGCATAGCGGCTCAGCCCATCACTAGATGTAGGAGGTTTCCTGGGGGTGGAGATGAGGCTGGTTCCTTCCCAGGTTCTGACTTAGGGCCAAGTGCCTCTTCAGGGTATCTTCTCCAATCCCTCTGAAAGGATGCAGGAAAGGACGGAGGAGAGGGGCCCAGCTCACAGCATTTCCCTTTTGTTGCTGGCTTGTACTTGGTTCTCATTTCCCACAATAACAGAGGCTCTGAGAGGGCTCCAGGGCTGTGTTAGGGCCCACACCAGGGAATGGACAGCTGAACGGATGGTTGTGTCCTCCTGACAGCCTGGTTTATTTTCTGGCCCGTAGGACACAGTCTGGGCTTTCTGCTGCTGCTATGGGTGGTGGTCTTAGGACAAACTGATCTGAGAGTGGGCTCTTTAGCACCCTGAGTACACAGGTAAGATGGGGAACTGGCAGCAGGGGATGGGATGTGAAAACAGGGAGTTAGAAAGACAGGTAAGACTTAGGTGATGGAGAATCATCATGATTTGGGGCTGATGGAATCCATAGCAATGTTCTAGCCCAACTCCCTGATTTTACACATAGGGAAACTGCCACCAAGAGGGGCATGTCCCTTCAAGGTCACGGATCCGTCAGGGGCAGAGTCAGGACAAGAACTGTAGTTTTATGACTCCTGAGTGCTCTTTGTCAGACCCACAGAAGTGCCTACAGCCAGATAAGAATTTTCCAGTGCAACTGATTGCTCAGTGCATTTTGAAAAACCAGCAGATCACCAGACAAATCCCTCCTCCACAAGGTTACAATCTGGGGAGAATGTGACATTTGCAATCTCATTTCTCCATCTTTCCTGGATGGTGCCCAAATGCTTATTATGAAGGGGCTGTGAATCACAGTGACGGGGCCTCCGTTGTCCTGGGACTCCTAACTGACCCACACCTTCGTGTAAATTCATTCCTTTGAGCTACTCTTATAATGTTGGTGGCATCAGGTTGATCAGGATGTCAATAAAATTGCCTAAAAATCCAAGGGGGCGGGGAAAAGACCAGAGAGAGAGTCTAGGGAAGGAACAATATATGGCTGTGCTCTGGGTTCAGGAAAAAAAAAAAAAAAAAAAGAAGGAACTTCAGAGGAGTCCAGAGAGAGGGGAAACTGTAACACCAAGGATGGTGCAGAAAGGAAAGAAATATTTGTAAAGGAAGGAAGCTGACATCCACATGGTAGCCAAAGGAGGGAGAATAGACACAAATAAGAACTTCAGGACAGAGAAAGTCGTAAACATTGGTACATCCAGAGCAGTTGCAAGATATGAATCATTTTCTCGGGAACTCAAAGGGAGAAGAGGGCCAACTGGATGAGGAAACGAGATCAGAGCCAATTCTTTCTTCTTTGGGCCTCTCTTTCCCCGTCTTTGGTGGGTTAAGAGACCTTTCCTGTCTTTCCTAATTTGAACGTTCTGTACAGCTGGGGCTGAGTTTTATAAGCAAAGGATGAGTCAGGCTGTGAGTGGAAATCAGAAATTCAGAGGAGAGCTCAAAGGGCAGAGGGCATTGGGAGGCTGTCTCACCTGGAGGAAGACTGTATATTTGAAGACAGGACCCTAGCTTCTGATTTTTTTTTTAATCAAAAGCAATTTTTGTATGTATTCATATACTTGAGTCATTTTTTTTTCTCTGAGTAAAAATATTTTAGAGAGGGGAAGTCAGAAACCATAAACATAGCAGTCTTTCTCAAAATTTTCCACTCCCAGGAAACCTGAGAGCACGGTCTGCAGTGCCTGGCTGAAGTCAACGGGATATTCCAAGAGGCTGTGCCCATGCTTTGTTGGCTTTGTGTATCTCATGTCCATGTGGCTTCACCTTCACGATTGAGAATTGTCTCCTTTGTTTAGGTTCTAAGTCCCCTGAGAACTTTCTTCCCTAGAGCCCTAGAAAGTGTAGTGATTTATTTCCATTTTAAAAGTTTTTGTAACCAGTGTTCTGTCCTTATAAAGCCAGTTAATACTGGTGTAAGGAGTGATTCAGACAGGAACACCGTTTAAGGTTAGAAATCCAAGAACTTGGTTGAGAACGAACTATTCCTAATCCCCAAGGGATCATCCCTGCGTTATGAATGATTTGTGGTTCTCTCAAATCCAAGGTAATGCCAAACTCAAGGCCTTGACTGAAACGTCCGTTGTGAAACTTAAACTCTGCATTACCTACAAACAACTGCTGCCCCTTCTATTCCTGGGTACACCCACTAATTCTTAAAAGGCAGGAGCGTTTTTCTACTAGTGTGTGGGCTTAAGTTTTCAGGGCCCACGACAACAAAGAAATTTTCCATCCATTGAAATCCCCTTTCTTTCTTACTATATAAAACATTTGCAAAAGTTATTTTAAAAAGATATGCAACTGTCAGAAAAAGATGGGCAAAAGATACGTGTAAGGAACCTGGAGTTAAAAAAAACATTTATAAAAAGATGAGTGGTATTAAAGAAATGCAAATTAAAACAATATGATATTTTCACCCGTTAGACTGTCAAAGATTAACAACATTGATACCATACAGTATTGGCTCAGGTGTTCTGGTAAAGGTACTTTTAAAACACAGTTGCTTAGAATTTGGCAATGACTATATAACTTTTTTCAGTGCTCATATACTTTGATCGCTTTCTTTTATTTTTTTTATTTTTTTAAAATATATTTTATTGATTTTTTACAGAGAGGAAGGGAGAGAGATAGAGAGTTAGAAACATCGATGAGAGAGAAACATCGATCAGCTGCCTCCTGCACATCCCCCACTGGGGATATGCCCGCAACCCAGGTACATGCCCTTGACCGGAATTGAACCTGGGACCCCTCAGTCTGCAGGCCGATGCTCTATCCACTGAGCCAAACCGGCTTCGGCTGATCGCTTTCTTTTAAAAAGATATATTTTTATTGATTTCAGAGAGGAAGGAAGAGGGAGAGAGAGATAGAAACATCGATGATGAGAGAGAATCATTGATCGGCTGCCTCTTGCACATCCCCTACTGGGGATTGAGCCTGCAACCTGAGCATGTGCCCTTCACCAGAATAGCACCTGGGAACCTTCAGTTCGCAGGCCGATTCTCTATCCACCAAGCCAAACCAGCTAGGGCCTTTTTTTTTTTTTTTTTTAATTGAGACATAATTGATATATAAATTGTGTAAGTTTAAGGAGCACATATGTTGATTTGATAACCCAGAATTTAATATCTATGAGTATATCCTTAAAACATTTTCATAAGAATATAAAAAATATGTTCTAGATAGCTAGAAATGCATAGAACTAGAATTTAAGGCCAGGCAGTCTGACTCCTAAGTCTACAGACCTAACTACTGTGTTCCACAGTTCCTCAGGACTTATTAATACTATATTTTCTATCTTCATAATGTTTCAATTTTTTAAAATTGATTTTAGCATGAGGGGGACTATAGGGGGATAAGGACACATATGTAATACCTTAATCAATAAAGAAATTTAAAAAAGAGGAAAAATAAAAAAAATAAAATTGATTTTAGAGGGAGAGGAAGGGAGAGAGAGAAACATTGATCAACTGACTCCCACTGGGGATCAAACCTATAACCTGGGTACATGCCCTGACCAAGAATTGAACCTGTCACTTTTTGGTGTATCGGACAATGCTCCCATCAACTGAGCCACACCTGCCAGGGCATAATGTTTCAAATGGGCATATACTGCTCTGGATTTACAAAAACAATAAATGTACATAAAAACAACGACTAAATCCCATCTCATTCCAAAGACACTTAATTATTTTTTAATGGAGAATAAGTTTTTAAAAATTGAGATACTTAGAAAATCAAAATGCTGCTCTATGAAAAATTGTGATAGAAATAGAAATTCCAGTATAACCAAGAAGAAAATTAGGAGTTAAAATAAATCTTTTAAATTAAAGTACAGAGAGATATTGACAACTTGCATATAAAGAAGTCTGTAAATAAAATGAGAAATTTTCATCACCAGTATTCTCTAAAGACATGTAAACTAATTATAAGGTAATGCATATGCTTACTAAAGTAGCAAAAGGTCATACAGAAAATTAAAGCCAATGTTGGTGAGGCAGGAGGTAAATGACAAAGCCTGGCTGCAAGCCTGGCAATTGTTCAGAATTCCTGGTCATATGTGACAAAACGGTAGGCAGGAACCATTTAAAAAAAATCACTATTATTTCTCCCCATGTAGCTCAGTGTCCCTTACACATAATAGGAATGCAAATATTTGATGGACTGATGAATGAATGAGTTGATGGATAGATAGATGAAACTATTCTTATCCTTTTACTTGTTAATTCTACTTTGAGGCCTATGCACCAAAGAATTAATCCCCAAAATAGTATTTTGTACAAATAAACTCATTGCACTGCTGTTTATAACAGTGAAAAAAAATGGAACATTACAAATGCCAATAATAGGAGAATACTTAGGTTAGGGTGCTATATCCACGTCCTGGACTCTGTTTAAATAAGAAAAAACCCCACAGTAGATACAAAAGGAGATTTACTCTCTGTGTCTGGGAAAAATGGCTGAATTGAGGGGTCCAATTCAGAGCTGTGTTCTGTCTGGTTGACATTTGTCAATTATTTTGGTTAAGTGGAGGCGGGAGAATGCAGCAACAACAACATGGGTTACAGGAAACCTTCCTCGTTATATTGAGAGCAGGAGAGAGAGAGAGAGAGAGAGAGAGAGAGAGAGAGAGAGAGAGAGAGAGAGAGAGAGAGAGAGAAAGACGCTAGACAATGCTTTTCAAATAACAGTCAATAGAGATATCAAAACTGAAGTTTCCTTACATTCTTGGTCAAGAGGTGTTGCGAGCTTTTGACTCTTCTTCTGGCTGGACTGGACACTGTGAAGAGAGATAAAGGAATGGTTTTAGAGAGTACCCGTGAGGCTGACATAGCTACAGTAACAAAACTGAGAGGGTTTGCACCTGGGGTGAGGGAGGGGCAGAGGACGGGGCCTGGGAAGAAGAGGCAGGGTGCAACTGCAATTTTGGATGTTACTTGGTTGAGTGCACCAAAGTGCACAGCAGCATTATTCACAATAGCCAAAAGGTGGGCACAACCCAAATGTCCGTCACCAGATACCAGTAAATGAATAAAATGTAGTCTATATATTCAGTAGAATATTATCCATCCTCAAGAAGAACTCGAATTCTGATACATGTTGAAACAGGGATGAAACTTGAAGACATTAAGCTGAGTGAAATAAGCCAGACACAAAAGGACAAATGCTGTATGAGTCCATTATATGAGATACCTAGAGTAATCAAATTTATAAAGACAGAAAGTAGAATAGAGGTTTCCAGGGGCTGGGAAAGAAATAGAGAGTTTAAGGCAGGGATTTTCAACTGGTGTGCCACAAGAATTTTTAAAACATGCTCTACATGATTATTTAGTCAGGAGTACCGACCTCTTTTCCCTTAGATTGTTAAATGAAAAAATGACAATAACAGTCATCTGGTGTGAATGCCCCCCTTTTTTTCATATTGAATTTATTGGGGTGACACTGGTTAACAAATTATACAGGTTACAGGTGCACAATTCCACAACACACCATCTGTACACTGTATTGTGTGTTCACCATCCCATTTATCCCCTTTCCACTTCCCCCTACCCTCTGTCCTCCTGGCAATCACCACATTGCTGTCTGTGTCCATGAGTTTTTTTCTTCCTTTAAAAAATTTTTTTAGAAGTTTATTGTTTTTTTTTCTTTTTTTTCTCAATCCCTCCACCCTCCGTGAATGCTCTGTCTTGAACCAAAAATATATAGGTCATATAACAGAGTTGCATCTTATTGGTCCCATTGCATAATAAGGTTGCATCTGATTGGTTAATTCTTGGTACCAGAAATCCTTATATACAAACTAGAGGCCTGATGTACGAAATTTGTGCAAGGGGCTTGGACCCTGCAGCCCTGGCTTCATCCATAAGGTCGTCTGTACAGTTGTTCTGCTGTTTGGTCTAATTAGCATATTAGCTTTTTATTATATAGGATTTAAGCACCTGATTCTTTAAAAAGTCACTTTGGAACAAAAAGAGTAGGTAATTACTATTATTATTATTAATTATTGTTTTTGTAAATCATTCAAAACTATACCTATTTTTGTCATATTGGCAAAAAATATATTTTTTGGAGTGCCACAGAATTTTAGTAATTAGTTTATGTGTGCCATGAGAAGAAAAAGGTTGAAAATCGCTGGTTTAATGGGTACAGAGTTTGTTAGGAATGATGACAAAGTTCTGGAAATGGAGAGTGGTGGTAGGTACACTCCAATCTTAATTTTCTAATGGCTACAGAACTGTATACTTAAAAATGGTTAAATGGCAAATTACATATTGTGTATATTTTGCCACACACATAAAAAGCTTTAAAAATCAATTAACCATAAAAAAAATTAGTTGGTTGAGAAAAGGTGTGCATTTTGTTGAAAAGGGAGACACCCAGGCATCTCTTCCCCACATTACTTCTAGAATGGTTTACTTGGAACCGAAATCCCACCCCGTCACGACCTGCCTACACCTGAAAGGACCTCTTGCCTCCGGTCAGATCAGTGATCAGAGGAGTGCTGTGCAGCCATGACACCCACCACCAGGCATGCAGTCAGCAGCCAGGGCTCCGCACTCCTTTCACTTGGGTGTGAATCTGAACTTGACCACTTGCCAGTTAGGAGATATTACTCATCCACTCTAAGCCCTCACGTTCCTCATCTGTAAATTAGGGGTAATTACACCTCCCTCAGAGGGCTGCGGTAAGGATTAAACGAACTAATTTGTACTAGAATATAGCCTTTGGCCTACCACCTGTCAAAGAGTAAGCTCCCAGGAATTAATGGTGGTTATTATGATGTTCCTCGTTCTCTGCAAGATGAGGGCTGGTGGGAGGAATAGGTGATAACTTGTAGAGACTATAGCATTCCATTAGAGTGTCTCTTTCTGGAGTTTTCTCCACTTCCCCTTTCCCTTATTCCCCTCACTAACTAACCCCTCCCCATCATTGTTTATCTCCAAGTAGGTTATTTTGAACGCTGTGGTACTATTCACCCCAGAATTAAACCCAGTCTGGTGTGCCCCAGGAAATAGCTGCTGGTATAACTTCTTGGTAAAACCACAGTTTTTATCTTTTGTATTTACTGTGAATTGTGGCTATGAAACCTTTCCTTGAAAGGTCTCTCTTTCTCCAGAAAGTAAAAAGACATACTTGTCCTTAGTTACATACAGATTTGTTTTATGTTCAGTGCCTTTAAAATATTTAAAAAACTCCATAATATTTGCTGTGGCCATAAAATACTTAAGTGCCTTTAAAATACTTTAAGAAACTTCATAACATTTTTGTGAGGTGTTAAGATGGCTCAGCTAAAAAGAAAAATCACTATTAGGTTGAACCCAATACATGTGTGTTGGAAAGAGAGATATAACACAACAATAATAAATGTAACAATAGCTCTGGCCAGTTTGGCTCAGTGGATAGAGTGTCCGCCTACAGACTAAAGCAGGGGTGGGCAAACTTTTTGACTCGAGGGCCACAATGGGTTCTTAAACTGGACCGGAGGGCCGGAACAAAAGCATGGATAGAGTGTTTGTGTGAACTAATATAAATTCAAAGTAAACATCATTACATAAAAGGGTATGGTCTTTTTTTTTTTTAGTTTTATTCATTTCAAATGGGCCCGCGGGCCGTAGTTTGCCCACGGCTGGACTAAAGGGTCCCGGGTTCGATTCCAGTCAAGGGCACATGCCTGGGTTGTGGGCTTGATCTCCAGTAGGGGGCCTGCAGGAGGCAGCCAATCAGTGGTTCTCTCTCATCATTGATGTTTCTCTCTCTTCCTTTCTGAAATCAATAAAAATATATTTTTAAAAATAAATGTAATAATAACTCCCCATGAAATTTTACTAGGTGGATGGCTTATTTGCCATATCTCATTCACACCTCCCAGCAACTCTGTGAGGCAGGTGCTCTTCATTTTTTAAAAAAGTATTTATTGATTTGAGAGAAAGAGATCAATTTTATTGTTCCTCTTATTTATGCATACATTGGTTGATTCTTGTATGTGCCCTGACCAGGGATTGAACCCACAACCTTGGCATATTGGGACGATGCTCTAACCAACTGAGCTACCCAGCAAGGACATAGCTGCTCTCCATTTTATAGATGGAGATACTGAGGGTTGTGGTTACACAGTCAATGGTGGAACAAGGCCTATGCTCTTAACCACTAGGCAGCACTGCCCATGTGGCTGAACTTGTGCTCTGAAATGTTTTGGTCTTTGGCCATTGAATACGCAGGACTAAACACTAGCATTTGGGAAAGGGCATAACAGGGAGGGCTATAACCCTTGTTAGATGAAATCAAACCAACCTATATTTCTGCACTGTCTTCTCTCACTGAGGACCCTCTGGCCTGATGGCTTTAGAGAAGCAAGATGCAAAACAAGAAGAAGGAAGAGGCAGACATCTCCCATTTCTGGTCTAATATAAACTACAAATACTCTTTTTCTAGACAACGACTTCCTAACCAGTGACATGTGCACGAATACCAATGAATACTTGGTTTAACATCATGAGATGTCCGTGAATAAAAATGGCAAGAAAGGAATATGGGATTAAATATTTACCTTTGACCTAACATATTCATTGTTGTAAGTATGGAATAAAAATGGGAATCACTTTGCAAGTGATGTGCTTAATGGTGCTCACTACATGCCAGGGGTTGTTCTAGATGCTTTATATAATTTCTCTATATCTCATACCCCCCTCCCCATCATAACCCTGGGAGATGAGTTCTAGTTCTCCCTTTTACAAAAGTGAAAACTCAGGCCCAGAGAGGTTAAGTAGCCTGCCCAAGGTCACACAGTGCAGAAGTAGTGGCAGTTTTTGACCACTATGCTAAGCACATGAAGTCAAAGGTCCTTTTTTGAATAATTTTATTCATGGGAAGTATGATATTGCTCCTGAGCTGCATAATAATTTAATTAAAAAGAGCCATATGGCTTTGATTTTTTTCTCCCTTTAAAAATGTTTAAATGGAGAAAAAGACAGGAAATAGACATACTAACATTTCCTTCCAATTTGTTTCTTTCTCATATAAAAGTAATAAAAAATTAGAGGGCAAGTTTAGGCCCCTTCTGTCTTCCCTCCCTCCCCAGGGATACTAAGATCACCTATTTTATCCATATCTTTCCAGCCTACGTTTTCACACTTTTCTCATAATATGTGCTCATAAACAATATATGGTATTGTTTTATATTTCCAAACTTAGTCCTTGTTATCATACATATATAATTTTTCAGCCTGTTTTTTTTTTTTCACTCAACATGATGTTTCAAGACCTATGTCCATACACGCAGATCTAGTCCATTGCTGTTGACTACTGTGGAGTATTGCGTAGTGTGATGACACCACATTTTACCCCTTCCCCTCTTCAAGGACACTTAGGCTCTTTTCAGTTTCGCTGTCATAGCATCAGCACCGCCGTGAGCATCTGTGTCTGAGAGAGAAGTGGAACAGCTGGGTCAGCGGGTCCTGGCCACCTCGCCTCTCCAAGTACCTTTCAGTCTCCAGGGAGAGTTCCAGCTCCTGCATGTGGACTGCCTCCTAGCTCCTTTTCTCTCTGGCATTTTGGCAATAGGTGTCTAAAGCTTAATTTACGTTCTGCTGGCTGTCTCTTTGTGGCCAGGCTGAACTTATCCTCCGTACCCCCCCCCCCTCCCCGCTCCCCCTCCCCCCAGGAAGGGCCCAGGGAAGAAGAAAGGAATTGTTTGAACAAGGGTCACAACACCAGCAAACACCCAGCCCACTTCATTCAAGTCTGACAATGAGACCAGGGCTCAGCCGGAGTCCTGGACTCTCCCAGCACGTCAGGGGCTGCAGGGACAGAGCAGGGGCCGCAGGAGAGAGGACAGAGGTTTGGAGGGGGCAAGGGAACTGTTTAGTCAACAGACGCCTGCCATCATCTGAGCTCTCACTTGAAGCCCCTCCCTCTACTTGACACCCACTTGACACCACTGGCCTCAGAGGACAAGGGCTGACAAAGTCACACTTCTTGGTGGCGCTAGTTCCAGGTTAAGTTTGGGAGTGTGGCCCTGGGGTACGTATAGAGGCCAGCCAGGGTTAGGGCATTATTTGACCAATTCCTTGGACTTTGGGTCACTGAGGGGAGTATTTCTCCTCATAGCTCACTGCACAGTTAGAAGTCAGATTTGTGAGGCAGCTGGTTCTCATTTCGGGACCCACTTGCTCACTGGAGGAGATGAAAGAATCTTTCTAGCTGCGCAGGGAATTTTGTCTTCACCTCTGTTTCCTCCAGCAATGGCTTGCTGTCACTTCCATTTGGCTTAGTGGGTTGCAGTACCGAGTTAAGTGAGACAGGAATATTTAACCGTCCTTCTTTTCCCCTCCATGGATTGTTTCTCAACGATTGATGTTTACCCATGTCCCTCCTTTTCAGAAACAACAACAACAAATATCATCAAAACCGAGAAGCAGTCAGAGCTCAGAGACCTGAGGGGGAACCTTAGTAAAGCAGCACGTGATGGCCCTCACCTTCCAGCAAAAGGTGCCTCATTAAGGGAACAGTCAAGGACAATTTTACTTACCCTTGGAAGGAATCACAGTGGTGAAAACTTCGATATTTTCGTCACTGCAGCTATAAATCTGATGCATCCTGTCAGCCTTCTCTCCCCTAACGTGCCTGAGAACCGGAGGCCTCTCTGTGAACCCCTAGTTGCAAGGTTTCCTAATCCAGTCTGGCTCGGGGATCATTGTGCAGGTCCACAAAAGACAGGCTGGTGCTGTGAGCTCATCTCGTTTCAGTCTTCACTGCAACATTTTCTAATCCCATCTGTCTTTTTTTTTTTTTTTTTTTTTTTTTATGAATCCTATTATTGCAAACCTTTGATTGAGCGTGGAGGCTTCAGTCCCCTCCCAGCCAGGATGTATTTAACATTTTTTATTTTGCCGTGTCTGCCTGCAGCAGTGAATTTGGAAGTCTTTTGTGAAGTGATGAAGCGAAATCGCCTACTCGGTTAGCGCCAAGCTTGGCTGGAGAATTTCACCGAAAAGGAAACGTGATCTTCGGTAACAGCAATTCTCCTTTTTCTTTCACTTATTTCTTTTCGCTCCAGAAGAACTGGATATTCAATAACTTGTCATGTATTAATTTGGCTTCCTTCAAAATTTCTATGTTAAGCAAAAGGACTGTTTCTCCACAGCATTTTCGCCTCCCACCAGTGCACAATAAGGCTGACATTTCTAGAGAGCTCTGTGCTTAGCATCTCCTTGTACAACCTTTCAGGTGCTTGCAGGAACAAGCAGTGACCCCACACTCAAGGTGCCCAGTTACAGGGTGGCTATATTTTACCCTGTATATTGCATATATTATACACAAAAATAAGGTTGAAACATATGTGTGTTATGTCCTAATGCACTGCCTTTCATGACAGTATAGATTTACTTCTTCATATTGATAATGATAATGATATAATAATATTAACAAAGAGAGTTGGCATTTCAACTTTGCAAAGAGCTAGGAAGCCTGACATAGAATCTCATTTACTGTCTACAACTACCCAAATAAGACTATTTTTGCCACCTTATAGGTGAGAAAAGTAAGACATGAAGAAATTGAGTAATTTGCCCAAGATTAAAATACCTAGTTCAGCCAGGCCATTGTGGGTCAATGGTTTAGCATTGACCTATGCACCAGGAGGTCATAGTTCAATTCCTAGTTAGGGCATATGCCCAGGTTTTGGGCTTGATTCCCAAAATGGGGCATGCAGGAAGCAGCCGATCAATGATTCTCTCTCATCATTGATGTTTCTATCTCTCACCTCTCTCTACCTCTCTCTGAAATCAATAAAAAAATATATTTTTTAAAAAATGCTGCTAAATCAGCTCACCCTAATTCCGTACTTAATTTTTTAAAATGTAAAGGTAGATGTTTTTATTTAGTTCTATTAAATTTCATCTTGTTGGTTTTATTACCTACAGTCTGTTAACATAATTTCAGATTATTAACATAATTTTGGATCTTGCTTTCTAATACACTAGATATTCCTCCAAATATTACATTATTTTAAACATCCATATTTAACCACTGTAGAGGTTATAAAATTTATAGAGACATCTTTTACACAGTACTCTTTTTAGCTGAAAATGATCAAAAATCTACTTAAACTTGAGCAAAAAGGAGATTTATCTGATGGAGACTGAGGGATCCCATTGACCACAAGACAGGAGTGACTCTAGGCCTGAGTGAGACTGGCAGGAAATGGGAAACTAAGTCAGGGCAATACTCTTTCCCTCCCTGATCTCTACCTCTTTATGCTCTTTCTCAATCTCCCATACCACCCCTCTGTGTTGCAACACTACCTTCATCTCCAAGCCCTCGTCTCTCCCACTGGCCCTCACCCACTTGCACACATCACCACAGACGCACCACGTATGGGCTGAGGTAAGAGCACTGCTCCCCTCTCCCAGCTAGAACTTTTACCCTGCATCTGCAGGGGGATAATCAGGCTGGGTGAGTGATGCTCACCTCCTCTCAAGTGAGCATGGAGTGGAGCTGGTCTTTTTTTCTCAATATTTTTTAATATGTTTTTATTGATTTCAGAGAGAGGAAAGGAGAGGAAGAATGACATAGAAACATCAATGATGCGATAGAATCATCCATCAGCTGCCTTCTGCAGGCCCCCCGCTCCCGCCTCCCCACCAGGGATCAATCCTGAATATGGGCATGTGCCCTGACCGATAATCAAACCACAATCTCCTGGTTCATGGGTCGACGCTAAACCACTGAGCACACCGGCCAGGCTAGCAGCAATTTTTTAAAAAGAAGTCTGGGGTTTGGTTAACCACACACTTCATAAGAGGCAATATTATTTAAAGGGCTGGGACTAAAAGACACAAATATGGTTTCAAGGGCCTGGTACTAAATAGAAATTAAGACCCTTTTTGGGTACCCACTAGCCAATCAGTTACCTGGATTAATCTCAAAGGTTCCAGGCCGGATTAGACTTTTTCTAAGAAAGCCAAAATTTAATCAAATAGAGCATATTGTACTGTATTTAATGAATAAGCTTGAAACACATAACTAAATGTGTTAAAGTGAGGAAACACACCCAGAAAAAACAATTCCTAAGTCATTTTTACCTGTTTGAAATATATTTTAAATAATAAAAATAACACATACTTATTATAACAAATTCAAAAATTGTAGATGGGTATGTAGAAAAAGTGATATATACTTCCCCAATTCTAGTCTCACTTCCTAAAAGCAATCATTGCTCACAGATTCATGGGTGTATTGTGCATTTCCAGATTTTTTCATATATATGTATGTATACAATTTTAAAAAATAGAAATAGAGTCACACTACATATACACACATACACACATCCATGCACACACTCATGTGTGAATGTATAGAGTTCCCAATCTTTAAATAGATGAGCAGAAAACTACATTATAATAATTTATTCATTTCTTTCTTGATAGGCCTATAGCTTACTTCCATTTTTTAAAAGTAGAAATAGCCCTAGCTGGTTTGGCTCAGTCAATAGAGCGTCAGCCTGTGGACTGAAGGGTCCCGGTTCAATTCCGGTCAAGGGCATGTGCACGGGTTGCAGGCTCAATCCCCAGTAGGGGGCCTGCAGGAGGCAGCCGATCATTGATATTCTCTCATCATTGATGTTTCAATCTCTCTCTCCCTCTCCCTTCCTCTCTGAAAATCAATAAAAATGTATTTAAAAAAATAAAAGTAGAAATAATGGTGCAAAGTACAACTTTATGTATGTCTTCTAATATTTTAATTGTCTACATTTCTAGTTGTGGGAGTGTGGATCATAGCATATGCATACTTAACATATTGAGGGCCCTGGCTGGTTTGGCTCAGTGAATAGAGCATCGGCCTGAGGACTGAAGGGTCCCAGGTTTGATTCTAGTCAAGGGCATATGCCCTGGTTTCAGGCTTGATCCTCAGTAGGGGGAGTGCAGGAGGCAGCCAATCAATGATTCTCTCTCATCATTAATGTTTCTATCTCTCTCTCGTTCTCCCTTCCTCTCTGAAATCAATAAAAATATTTAAAAATTTTTTGAGGGATTTTTCCAAATTACCTTCCAAAAATTTTTCATCAGTTGACACTTTCACAATAGGATATGAGGGGCTTATTCCTCCCACCCTTGGCAATACTCGATATTACTAATCTTTAAATTTTTTGCCAACATGATCCTGTTTGGCTTTTATGCTCTGAGTCCAGAATCTTGACCACATTACACAATTAAGGTCCTTCTACCCACGTACTTTACAACGTCTGGCGGGGTGAATGACTGAGTCCTCATTTTGGAATACAAAATCTATAATTCGTACACAATAGTAGGTATACATTACACCTATGAGTACTGGTAACAATCTCTGTCCAGGACCAGACTAAGTAAGTAAGGGAGGTCTGTGTTGGCCTGGGGTCTTCTCCGAGATTTTGGAAAGTCACTGCTGAGAGTTCTACACTGTTGGCACATGGATGTTCACTTATAACCCTTTAAAATTTTTGCTTTGTGGCCATAAGACCTGACTGCCTTCCACTTACCTGCCCTTTCTGTTTGGGGGGAATTCTGCCTCAATTCAGATCCCATGGTAACAGTATTACCCCATCCACAATGATCAATAAGACAACATCAATACTGAGACTTCCTAGGAATGAGCCTTCCTAGTGCTGTGAGACCACACAATCTCACCAAAAGGTTGGTCAATGATGCACCATTCAGATTGGTTTATTACCAAAAGGGGGAATTATGGACAAAAAAGAAAAGGATTTCTATGTAAGGTTACAATAAATTCCTAACTGGACAGGATATGGTGGGAAGTCATGTCCCAGGTGCCTAACTTTTTAGTAAAAGGTTTGTCTTTGCCTTGAGCAAGCTCTATCCATTGTTTCTGTGCATCTATTCTAGGTTAACACACCTTTTGAAATAACCACCCTCAAGAAAGCACATAATCTTGTTAATTATCCTGTAATTTCAAATGCATAGAAGAAGCTGAAAAACTTATTCTCTGGGACATTTGAGATCTTGCTCCCTGGCATATGTTATCCATTTGGCTCAAGTAAACTCATAAAAATTCAAAATAATCAAAATAAAAATCTGCTTCTGTACTTACTCCAAGGGAAATCAACTAATGTCAATGGAAGCCTTTATTTCTTTACTGTGTGCTCTGCAAAATGCTTGGTTACCCATTGGCTAATGGGAAGAGCTGAGAGTTGCTAATTCTGTTTCTCTCTCCAACCTGGGAGCTCTGCAGATCCACCCTCTCAAAGGTGCTGAAGAAGTCCTCTCTGAGGAAGTTCCGTGTAGGCTTTAATGTGCATGGGAATCACTGGGGATCTTGTTAAAGTGCAGATTCTGATTCCACAGGCCTGGAGTGGGCCTGAGAGACCGAGTTTCTAAGGGGCTCCTGTGAAGCCCTCCTTGCTGGTCCCAGGGTGTACAGGTCGTGAGAGCAGAGAGTTCACGTAAGGAGAGCAGATGTTCCTGACCTGGGTGCATTAGAATTATGAGGCACTCAAGTGCCCCCACGCCTACCCCAGACTATTTAAATATGATTCCCTAGGGCCCAAGCCTATGTATAAAAATCACCCCCTATGATTATAATATGCAGGTAGGATTCAGATAGAGTGAGGTGGTTCTCAAATTGTCCCCAGACCGCAGGTCAGCAGCACCTGGCAACTTGTTAGACAGGCA